GTTAGATCGCCGAAGCCCGAGCGAGGTCAGAAAAAGGAGACCATTCTGCCTATCTGATCAACCGGGTCACAGCAGTCAAAAGCAAAGAGACCACTGAGACGGGAAAGCAGACTGAGAAGTCTGCCCATCCTTGGTCATTCAGGTCACAATAGTCAGAAGAAAAGAGACCATTAAGACGAGATTAGAAAATCAGCTCAAAGAGTTAAAACCGTAGAATTTAGGTCCAAGTAATAAAGGGAAGCATCGGCAGAATAGGCAAGTACAGGAAGAAAGGGGACATAGTAATAAGGATTAATCAGGGCCAACCATGCATTTCAGTTGAGGGTTGCAGGACGTTACGTCGGCATAGCCTAGGTCTTTGGGATCACAGAAGTCCGAGGTGGGCCAGAAAGCAGGAGACCGTTCCGACGAGTCCGGATAGGCTAGCAAGATGAAGCTACGCCGCCAAGGCATGCTGAAAGACAGAGGCAAATTTGCGCTTCAGGGTACGTGTCATGTCTTCCACGGAGTTTGATGATGGGTCTGGACGTGCTCGAACTCGGTTGCAGATCTGATTCAAGGGAACATCGAGCAGTTGCAACTTTTCAATCCAGTCGAAACCAAGAAAAGTCAAATTCAGCCGGTCTGAAATGTAGCGCGTTCCCGACTTTTCCACCTCCTTGAAAGCGAGCTTGCAAGTAAGTTCGCCTACTAAGTTTAACACCGCCGGATGCATTATGTGCAACTTTCTGAGACTCGACCATCTTCGGCCTCTTTATGTGATTCTATATGCTCCCGAAATAATCGTGTCAGCTTGCAGTTTCTTTGGTATCCCGTTGATAAACACCCTGATAAATTGTCGTCTCGGTTTACACGCACTTTAGAATGCGGCAACTATGGACAAGGACTGCGCCATCCTTCCTAGAATTCCACTTTCGATCAGGCTTCTTCACTTTCTTTGACCGGACCTGACTGCAGAATTCCTTCTTATGCCCGCGGTTGGGGCACGTTTGACACATAGGACGTTTGAACGGACGAAAGCTCGCAAAATGCCATTCGCCGCATGACCAACATGTTGTGGGCGGTTGCTCGTAGACCTCTTGAAGGGTTTACTTCAGTTTACACTCCTGGCGTTTTCACGAATTGCACGGGAACCGGTGGTGCGCGACCATTCCGTTCGACCATGGCAGTGTCGTGTTTTAGAGGGAGCAGATGTTTGCTTTCGCTTGCGAGGGCCTTCAGTGTCAGATTCGGATCCTGATCCAGCTTAGCTAAAAGCCGCATGCGGATCTCAGCCTCACTGGGTGATAGTGGAGCGCTGACAAAAATGAGACACTTAAACTGATCGTCCCTTTAAGCGCGTAGGTTGAAACGCTTACACTCACGGTTAATCATGTCTGCTAAGGCCCCAAAGTCGTCCGCTTCCAGTTTGACAATTTTCAGGCATGGATAGCGAATACCAAACAAGGATACTGACCCACTTACCACTTCCTTCAGCTGCAAAACTACTTTGTCAAACGTCAGATACTTCGGCTGTTTGGGCAGAATGTGGTCTAGGAGCCTTTAACGTTCACTCATTCGGAGCTTGCGGTGTAGCAATAGCACCTACCAAGAGTCTTCCTGAAGAATGAAGTCCGTCCAAAACTTGTGTTCACAGCGCTTGAACCATGCTTCGAATGGGCATCCAGAATGTTCAAACTCGATGTGATAATCGTTAATAATCGATTAAGCATTAAAATAGTGCATTTCCTAGACAATTCTTACTTTCACCCGGACAACAACTGCCTACCATCCTCAAGCAAACAGAAAGGTGCAGCGATTTCACCGACAGCTTAAAGCCTCGCTGTGCCGCCCATGCACTTATTTGGGCAGAAGTTCTGCCAGTAGTACTACCCGGAATTCCATCAACACTGAAAGCTGATCTTGAAATGTTCCGCATGGAATTGGTCTATGGACAACCAATCCGAGTTCCAGGCGACTTCTTCTCTGAAAGCCTGAAGACCTCGCTACGACGCGCACTACGCTCGACAGCTAGCCACGAGAATGCGCAGCAATAAATCGACCGCAGTACGGGGACAGCATCGCAAGTGTCACGTTCCCCGAGAGCTACACCAATGCCCGTTTGTTTTTGTTCCCACTGATGGTCTACGCAGGCGACTCGAACGACCTTAAGAAGGTCCATTCAAGGTCCTACAACGTAAGGATCGCTTCTTCGTCACCGAACGCAACGACAAGCGCGAAACCATCTCAATGGGCCGCCACAAATTTGCTTACGTCGAACCAGAGTCGAACGATGACTCCAGTCATTCGTCCTCCGATGAAACGATCCAATCAATGGTGGAGGAAAAGCCTGCAGACAGCAACACCACAACCAGAAACCTGCCTTCTGAGCCCCGACTCCGCCACGCCTAAAACGTTACTAGGTCTGGTCATCAGGTTCACTGGCCGACACTTTGCTTAAAACGTTGGCTTAGCATTTTTGCTTCTAACAACGTTTTCAGGGTTTCACTCACGTCAGTACGCGCCAAAACCGCAAAAAAGCCAATGTTTTGAAAATCCAAAAACATCACAAGTTTTGAACCACACAAAACGGGGAAAAGGCTTTGTAAACCGATAAAAAGAGTTGGTTCCTTGATGTTTCGTTGCCTATTTGGTAAGTGCTTTTCCCGTCCGTTGCTGTCGTCTCTTCTGCATGTCCGACCCCCGTTTCTCTATTTTAATGTTGCGAACTGGGAAACACTCAATCGTGGTCAAACGTAAGTAACCGTATGCAACGAACGTTTTCCCCTTTTCTTTTCTTGGTACCTTAAGGGAGGACATGGGTGGGAGCCCGCTAGAGTTCAATCGCCTGGTTCTCCCTCGGCAGCTGCATCAGGTTTCACCGCCTGGTCTCGCAGAATGCTGGCCCGCAACGGACAGTCCTCACGTAGTTCGAAGGGTCACTAACGGTTTCCTTCCAGGAGGGGGCTATGTAGTTACCTGGAGATCGTCCGTTTTTCTGTGTAAAATACTATTAAAATATATTATTTTGTACTTAGACAACTTAGGAAGCTTGCCTGCCCGTACGATAACTACGTGTGTTTGAGTCATCCAGACAAATCGCATTCGCGCGCTTCTGGCCTTTTCTTCTCGAGGAGCGTTCGTTGCGTCTCGGCTGGCGACTATACCTTTCCCGTAGCTAGAACCAGTATTATGGTGCATTCATCTAGCGGGATCGTGCGTTTCGACAAAACATGTCTATCTCGTCCACATATCCGTTTTTTACGGACTTTTCCTTGAGGCGGGACGAAACTGGCATGTAGCGACCGAACGATGCCGCTATACACTTCCTTCTCGCGTGTAGCAGCCGTAAATACTCCTTGGTCCACCTATTCCAAAATCGTGATGCCAATTAGTTCGCCTGTTTCCAACACCGCGTATACATCTCGTTTTTATTTGGGCTATCAACTGGTCTGTATTCTACCACAGTAATAATAGATCGTTTAGCGTCAGTGCTAGTGGGTCGCGCGCAACTGCGGTCAAGGGAACGAGGGGTCTGCCATTCACGACGCGTTCTGCTTCCGTGAGGAACGTTACTAGCGTCACGTTCAGTGTTTGTTGCCCAGCAACGCACATGAGCACTCCTCTGATTGATCGGATGATCCTCTCCAAGACTCCTCCAAGATGACTTGCTAACGACGGTTTAAGGTGCCATTGGATGCCCTGGCTCAAACGCTTGTCGTTGAGTTTAGTTTGGGACCAATCCTGTATAACTCTACGTAGTTTAGCAACATCAACAACCAAGTTCGTGCCATTATCACTGAACAACTCCTCTCCGGTGCCTCATCTTGCAATGACCCTCATGGGCACCATAATGGGAGAATCACTACTCAGTGAGAATGAGACCTCGAGCTGAACAACCCGCATCTGCAAGCAAATGAAAACGCAACCATACAGTTTCTCCTGACTTCTGCCGCACTTAACAGGCAGTTGCCCAAAGGCTTGGACACCCACATATCTGAATGGAAACCATCCCTGCTATACTCTAAACGGCGGTAAAAGGGCCAAACTCTGTAGTCCCGTACGTGATAACTGTTTTCTGCACATCCAACACCTTACAAGAATTCGTTTCACGGTTGATGCTCCATAAACAATCTTGTATTTGCGACGAATACTAGCTAGTGGTTGTGCACGATATCCAGCTGGTTGTGACAGTAGGTTATGTACACATGATGTACGCGCCTTGGCCCCGTAGGTTTGCTTGGGGCATTAAAGCTTTCAGGTAAGTCCCCCTTCTCTCCCTCTCATTATGCTTTATTTAATAGGTCATCATGGTTGTATGGCAGCGAAGCATCGGTTCAAATGGCGGATGTATTGCTGTTGATGATTTTTGATTTTTTGAGTGTTTGTGCTACACCTGAATGGCTATCACGCAAATGGTAGTAATTTACCAGCATCTCGCTCACTGCGTGCTGGGCGGGTATAATAATCGGTAAGTTCGCGCAACGTTCAAACGGGTTACAGGACAACCTGTTTCCAACACAAAGCTAGTCGTTAAGCAACACAGGGCATAAAGGTCTCAAACGGCTCCTCTTCAAGACATTTTTGTGACCCCTCTCCTCCTCTTCCCTTCCTTCTATAAGTACTATCGTATCTTCGTACACATGACGCTGCACGAGTTGGATGACATTTACTTCAGCTGGTGCAATTGCTCTGAGCTAAGTAAAAGCACAAGACCGGAGGAGGGACCGGAGGACCACCTCGCAATCTCTGAACATAAACCTTAAAATGTGTAAGCCACAGAACAGACGTCAGCAACCTCATCCGGTCGTAGTTATGTTTTATGAACACGTGCAAAGGAGGATTTGCTGCAACTGCACACATCCGGGCAGTAGCGGTTGTACACGATTAGTGCCGGAGCCGCAAGAACACTTGGAATCGTGGGCCACTTGACTTCGCAACTGCGCACAATTTCCGGACTGTCTAACAACCGGCTTAAACGATGAGAAGACGAAACACCTCTGGAGAGCAAATCAGTCGGATTATGTTCTGATTTGAGAGGGAGGTGGGGGAGGGGATGGGGTTAGGCGTGGGGGGAATTGGGAGCATTGCGGGGGTGCTGGGTGGGCAAGCCGGCGGGGACGGGTGGGGCGAACAAAAATACCAGAGAATAACCGACCCCCCCCCCACACCCCCCCCCCCCACCCCCCCCCCCCCCCCCCCCCCCCCCCCCCCCCCACCCCCACCCCCCCCCCACCCCCCCCCCCACCCCCCCCCCCCCCCCCCCACCCCCCCCCCCCACCCCCCCCCCCCCCCCCCCCCCCCCCACCCCCCCCCCCCCCCCCCCCCCCCCCCCACCCCCCCCCCCACCCACCCCCACCCCCCCCCCCCCCCCCCCCCCCCCCCCCCCCCCCCCACCCCCCACCCCCCACCACCCCCACCCCCCCCCCCCCCCCCCCCCCACCCCCCCCCCCCCCCACCCCCCCCCCCCCCCCCCCCCCCCCCCCCCCCCCCCCCCCCCACCCCCCCCCCCCCCCCCCCCCACCCCCCCCCACCCCCCCCCCCACCCACGACCCCACCCCAATACCTGCAATCCCACCACT